TATATATGTATATAGTCAAGTCGTATTTACCGTTATGCATTGGGTTTTTACCTTGAACTCAGTTTTGTGCGCTTTTACAACATCGTTTTATTTCTGAACACTTTATGCTGTTGGTTTTAATGCAGCGAGTTTTCACTTTCTTGCAGGTGGAGGCCGTTAATCATCTGATTAGATAATAAATTATTACAGCGCGCCCAAGTTCTTGGGGTTTACGCGTTTTTGGATTATGCTCTTTATCAGTTTGTTTATTTTGGGTTTTTTTTCGTTGTTTTTGCGAGAAATTGTTGCTTTTGCCTTTTATGATTGTTGATTAGATTGACTTCTGGCTGATGCTACAATTTTCAGTATAATACCTTTATCAAATTTATAAAATGCTAGAATTTTTTATATTTCCATATCTCTATATAAGTCGAATTTATTGAGTATTGAAATGTTAAAAAGGTTCTCATAGAAATGAAATGGAGATGCTTCACAATACTATATATACACATATATAGTATAGTTGCGGAGAGGAGGCATACGAAGTACTCAAGCTCAGATGTTGCTTTGAGTTGTAAAATTTGCTTGATTTACCGGGCCTATTTTAATACATATGTAGAGAAAAAAGTGCGAGATTCCCAGCATGATGAGTTGTGCGTCGCACTTCATAACATCATAATAAAAAGTCGATGCAATTGTTGTGGCAACAGAGCAGCGAGCGACGTGTTCACACACATGGCCAGACGTGTTGGCAACACACCTACTTCTTCTGCTCGGGCCAAAAAGGGGGCCAAGTAAGCAATTTTTGATTTACCAATGATAGACGCACCAAACGCACGCAACAACAGCTAAATGCGAAGAAATGAATAGATATAACCCAAAAACTTGAACAAATGTGAATGGCCTGGTCTTTTTTTTGGCGGTTTGGGCTCTCCGTAGCCGATAACTGGGACTGGGCTGGGTCTTTTATAGCAGCATTTTTTTCTGTTTGTGGTTATTTATTTTTATTGTCTTGGGGCATTTGTCACAGCAGCACTTCGCACCTAACAGCTTTTGCTCAACACCAGAACTTTTCGCCCAAATGCGCTGTTTATGGTTTTAGCTCATAAATAGCTGACAGTTTCAAAAAATGGAGAGCTGCCTTGCTGCTATTATCAAATCTTATGCAGAAAGTTGACAATCTATAAATTTGGATTTTTCTGTTATTTGCTTTGCATATATGTATATGATATGCAACTTTTTAAATCGTGTATCAGGCTACAATGTAAATACTTTCGCTTTCTTTGGTGCTCAGCCAAGGTCTTAGGTTAAAAGCCGGTTTTCATTTTTTTCTTTTTCTTTTTACGAACGTTTAGCTCAGCAGCAAAAACTTTGGAGATAAATCATTGTATAGTATTTGTATATTTTTATGAATAAATTTTGCCAATTAATCAATAAATAAATATATGTAGTCATATATAAATATGTATATATTATATACGATATGTTTACTCTGAGAGCTTATTTAAGTGCAATATTCTGTATTCAGCCAGAAATATATTAATAGCCTTCCGCTCTCGCTAACTTTATGCAAATATTTTGCATATAAAAATGTAGTAGAATGGAACATTTTTATGAAATGTGAATGCTCGACTAGCAGTTGGTATATTTGAATTTTAAATTCAATTTTACGAATTATATCCATATAGATGCTGTTTTTCCTTTTCCCCCTGTGGGTTCATATATAGCATCAATATAATTTGTTTATTTTTATCTAATCTTTAATACGACACACCCAAAACCGATTTGTATGACATCAGCTTTAAAACCAACAAACTTGAGATAAATGCATAAACAGTATATTATATGATAATTAGTTTACGATAAGTGTAAATGGATACTTTAATAACTCAGCATTTTATTGTCGATCTTGATAAAAGTAATTTAATTTCTTCATCAGATGTATGTTTGATCTTCTACGCACAAAAAGTGCTTAAGACAATTCTTGGATATTTTAATAATATGAAAATATAATGTTAGTGCTTAGGAAATTGTTCGTCAAGCGAAATTTATCCACCCCATTTGCATAGTCCGAGGGTATACGAAATATATAAATCTCAGCTTATTCCACACAAGTCGTCAAAGCCCAAGGTCAACTCGCATTTTCAAGTGCTCCGTGCCCCAGGCAATAAACAGATCATGTGCAACTTTTTGTGTGTTTTTTCAAGTTGGAATTAAAATAAAAACAAATACAAAAAAAAAAGACACGGAAAATATGTTCAAAACAGCTTAAGTTATTTGCTGTAAACAGCTGTCGCCGAGTTGGATATTTGCACTTAATTAGGCGGGCCGACAACCAACAGCCCACATCCACCCACAAACCCACAACCCACCAAACCTACCCAGCTACCGCTCGCCCCACAGATTTCTTAAAACTTTACAAAAACAAAATGCCCCATGGCGGCAAAGTACAAACGGTGAAAAGATTTGAGCACAGTTTATTTTGGTTCTGTAATTGGCATTTTGTTATTAGTATTATTATTTTTTCTTTTTGTGTATATATTCAGTTATCAATATATAAGCAGCTACACGTATGTGTATATTGTGTGCACATAAATGAACATTATTTAGATATTTGTCATGGGCTTCTGTGCGTACGTTGAAGACAAATACAAATTAATACGAGTTGTTCGGCACGTTCGGCTGCTTAATGGAATAAATAATTAAGTCAGTATGTCAGTCAATAATGTATGTGCACTGCTCTGATATTCCTCAGCTTCAATCAAGTGGAGTACAGTGAACATTGCCTACAAGAAGTTGGTTTGCCAAGGACAATTTTGAGAACCTACTAAAATTGACAGATTTACAGATAATAGTTGTTGATATTTTTGTACAATACTTTCTAAATGAAGAGCTTTACTTTTCGTTCTGAATTTATCTAGTTTCGAGTCGGTTAACTTTTAGATGTTTGCTTGGAAAACTTTATCGGTATTGAGCGTATTTACCTAATTTAGATGCGTCGCAATTGCCAGACACTCAGCCAGACGCCATAAAACAAACAAACAACAACAACAACTACAGCAATAGTAACAGAAATAAACTACAAAAATAAGTTCAATTACAGCTGAACAATAAAACTGAAAATGAAATCAAATAAACTGTGAGTCTGACCTTTGGCTAAGTAATTGAATGTGCATAGAATTTATGAGAGTAACTGCAATGCAGGTCCATAAATTGCAGCTACTAATTAAATTAGCCATTGACATTGAAGATGGAGAGGGGAGGCTCCGACCGTCAAGGCTTGACAATGAAAATTGTACTCAAATCAGCCGTATACGTGTACGTGTACTGGTTTATTGATAAGATTCTAGTCCAGTTGGGTCACATGCAGTTGATCGATCTGTGCTACGGCCCGAAGTGTATATGGTACGAATGGTTCCCGCTAATTGTTATTTAAGCAGCTCACATAGCTCAATAAACAATCAATGGCATTTGTTTATCGTGTTTGTTGCCTACTTTTTTTGGTTGGGGGCAGCTTAGACAATGACCAGTTGATGGCCCTGGCCATGCACTGTCCGATCGCATTACGTAATTACGCATACGCCATGTGAAAAACATAAAAAATGCTTTTGGAAAAACAGAAACGCAAACACACGGTACAAATTGCCAGCGAAAGTATGCAAAAGTATTGCTTTTTTATTGTCGATGTCTGAACATGTGATCGATAGCACGAGGCTGTGCGCCAAGTCGGAGAGATAGATAAATAAGCCACAAATTGTGCGGAGAGCGTGTGGCCATTATATAACCCAGTCGATAAAGAACCAAGGAAGGAACCACACCATAGATTGATATATCTACATCCATAAAGATATGTTGTCAAGGCACCACTCTAAGTGAGCTATCAATAGAATAATATAGTTTATTTATTTATTTTGTACTCTGGGGCTATTTCAGAGTGGTATTATATTTGATCAATTTCATAATCATCATAATACATAATTATAATTTATTATGGAACAGACTTCCTTATCTGTGGCAAATTGAGTTGATATGGGCTGCTAATGCCGATTGAATGTGTTTATTAATATAAATATTACAAGCAGAGCAGTATAGATTGCAATTAATATTTTTAGTATATTCGATGAGTCTTTATAATGCAACTATTTGTAATTTGTTTCAACAGAAAGTTCTAGTCCAAACAACAATTTAGATTCGACATACTGCAGTACATTAGACACAGTAAATTAATATAATGTCAGACTGTATAATTAGCTAAATATGTATATATGATGGATCACAAACTTCTATTTAAGCAATATTCTGTTCACTATTCCTTCAGTTTAAAGAACTTTAATTCATTTTCTAAAAACTTAATGATTATTTGATCTAAATATTCGCGAATCTTAGGCAATAGTAGAGTAATATGAAATGAATTAAATAATTAAAAAAAAAAGGTTTTCTTAAATGGAAAAAATGAAAACGGTCTCAAATTTATATGCGGATCTGTTTGATTTTCACAACAGAGCGTTGACAGCATAAGCAATGCTAGCTAATGGATCCTGTATGTATCTCAGAGGATTTGTCGTGATACTCTGCCAGTTTTAAAGAAACTTGACTACCCAAGCATCCCACAAGAATTCAACATGAATTCCATGTGATAGTGATATTTTCTTTCGGAGAATGAGAGCTTTGATTGGGGAGCTCATGAGTTGATCGCATTATTGCAATATACAATTAATATTAGGCACAGCATGATTTAAATGAACATATATGTTTATATATTCATGAAGTAAACCAATTGCCAAGGGCCCATCAATTAAATTTCTAGCTTGTGGCATTTGTGCACTTTGGACATAGTTAACAGTCTTATAAATATGTTATAAATTAGCTACAGCCATAAGTAAAACTGAATTGGTTATTTATGATTAATAAATGCCACAAACTACATGTATATAGATATACATATATTGTGAGTTGATTAACATTAAATTCATGTCATAAACAAAGAATGAGTAATTGATTTGTCTTAGCTTAAAAAAAGCAGCAACTTAAAAGTGTCTTATCAAAAGTTTCCCAGCAAATGAATCACCTGCTTTGTGGGCATTATAAAAACGCTTTAAACTGGCCTGAGTGGCCATAAAATCAAATAGTTTATAGAAAGCAGTCGCCGCATGCTCAAGGTGCTGCTCCAAAAAGAAACTAAACTAAAGTATATAAAATTAAAATTTAATTTCAATAAAAATCGAACAAAAATTTGCTAACCGACGTTTGATTTTGGTTTTCACCACAAATTAAACATGATTATGATTGGGCAAAAAAGGGCAAAAAAAAAAAAAAAAAGCCAAAAAAGAAGAAAAAATAATTTGCATTTGACTAATTTTTTGTTACTTCTTTTTCTCCTACTTTTTGTTAACATCTTTTACAGCTACTCACAGGCGAAGCACCGTTAACATACGGAAAGTAAAAGCGCGTATCTGATACAAACGAGCCACACACTCTGTCACACACACACATCTCCCTCGGCATACACACACACACGCACATTCGCAACATGGCCGATACCATCAACAAGCCCAGCATACAAATTCGCAGCGGTCTGCCCTCGCCCCTCAGCGACAAGAGCCCCTCGCCGGCAACGAAGCTGTTGATCAGCCACGGCAAGCCGAACTTCACCATCGCCCGCTCACCCAAGCTGGAAGACAATGATGGCCAGCATCCGCTGTCGCCGCAACCGAGCGCCAACAACAACTACAATCCCTACAAGTGCGCCGGGTACAACAACAACAGCAACACCAACAAGTTTGTGGTCGGCACCAAGTTCAATGGCGTCTTCAAGCCCTCCACAGCAGCCGCCAGCTGGGCGAGTAGTAACGGCAACGGCACTGCGGAACAGAATGAAGCAGCCAAGGTGGTGCTGCGTCGCCCGAAGCTGGCCAGCTCGGAAGCACCGGCGGCTGCAGCTGGGGATGATGAGAACGTGCCGGAGTTTATACTGCGACAGCGACGGATTCAGGAGCGTTTGGCCAAGGAGAATGTGCTGGACTTTGAGAATCGGCGCAGTGGCTACTTCACGCACGTCATGATCTCGCCGGATTCACCCAATCGTACCTCTTTTGCTGAAACTATGGCCAGCCCGGCTATAGTTCCTTCTCTGGAGATGCCTCTGCCGGCCAAGATTGAGGAAGAGCAGCAGGGCGACAAGCGGGAACAGGAGCAGGAGCAAGTTGTTCCCACTGCGAATGGTCACAGAGCAGAATTGGACCAGCCGGCGGTGCTTACCAATGGTCACAATGGCGAGAAGGAGGGAGAGGTAGAGAGAGAGGAGAAGGAGGAGCCGAAGCAAGAGCAGGAACAGGAGCAGCCCTTCAGCAATGGACGGGCGAATAATGATGTGGCGCCCGAGGAGGTGGCCCAGGCCATAGAGGAGGTCAACAAGGCTGTGGCCGGCGAGGATGACGACGCCAAAGCGGAATCGGAGCAAGCAGAGGTCCAAGTTGAAGCAGCACCAGTAGCGGTAGCTGTACCCACAGTTACAGCTGATGAAGTGCCGCCGGCTGCCGTAGAGGCACAGGTCGAGGTGGTTACTCCAGCGGCAGCCACTGAAAACGGCGTCGCCACTGAGGAAGCTGGCATCACCATCTCCCATACGAATGGACACTCCAGTGAGCAACCCACCGTAGCTAGGGCCGATCCAAGCGGCGCGCTTGGCGTCAACTATGAGCCGAAGACGGTCGTCAGCTTCTCACAAGAGCTGGGCGCTGGCGAGAACAACTACCCCGACACGGTGCTGGTGACCAAGGAGGTGCCCGCCTCGTCTGCCGATGCGCAGCTGCAGGAGTTGACCAAGCTTAAGTTCGATATACAAAGTGATGAGAAGAACGAGGTGCAGGTGACACCCGTCTTGCGTGCGGAGTAGGCGGCTGCTCCTCTCGTCCAACACCCAAATCCCTTAGTGGGCTCCTAGTGCAATTTGTTATTAATCAAAAGGAAAGATAAACAAAACGAGAAACGAAAACTTAATGTATTTGTGTACTTTGTGTTAGAGACTAAGTTCATTATGAGAAATGTTGCCAAATTTAATTTTATGCTTTTGCGCATCAGTCAGTATCCGTGTACGCACGCATACAAACCCACACATACACATACACACACACACACGCACACACACACACTACGCGCTAGCTGTTGAGGCAATTGCCACGCCTGGGGCTTCCGCCTCTTGTGGCTGGCCACCAGCTACATTTAACTATGTTTACTTCAAAAACAATTTGCTTTATTTAAATAAATTATTATTACAAACGAAATACGAAGATTTGCTGAATTTAATTATTAACTGGATACCTAACCGGCTTTGTACGGCTTTTCGAAGTGTGTCCAAGCACTTGGTTTATTTATATATAAAGCTTATTTGAACAGTTTTTCCATTTTAAAAATAATGTGTATATAATAATGTTTACACTCAATATGTTCGTCCGCAGCTGAAGCTAGCGGTTGGGATTATATAGTATATTCGTGGCCTAATAAGGTAGAAGTATTTTTCCGATACTTCCCCTAGTGGAAAATTTTGTAATCCTCCAACTGTTATCTTTGAAACGTTATTATTTAAACTTCTCAAGCCTCGATATCACATGATAAAAGAAAGTGGGCAATACAAATTATAAAAATCTTTATTTCCTACAGTTTTGGAACCAAAAATAATTGCTCTACAATTGAAAATAAGAAAAAAAATGGCATGTCAAAAAGTTTATCGCTTGAATCTGACAGTTAGTAGGGTTACCTAATCTTCTTAAGGATAATTAAAAAGTTTTTATAATTATTTATATAAGGCTATTTCAAAAAATATGGAAATACGAGAGAGACCAAAGTATGATAAATGCACGCGTAGCACTAGCTTGCTTTACAAATTATTAAAACACTATATGTATATGAATGTATGCTGTATAGTGATGCAATTATCATTAGCATATCTCCTGACCTTGAAAATGGAATGTTGTTAGATATGTATCGCTTGTGCGAAAAGTATTTTAAACAATTGAACTTTGACATTTGGAAGGCACAACTAGACAGTCCTTCAGCAGTAGGAAATATAAATGTCTTTAAATATATTCTTGAATTAATGAAATTATTCAATGGCAGTGATTGATCGCTTGATGGGCGTGAATGGTATATCGATACTTGCTTAAAAATAGATATCAGCTTAAGGTTTTTGAATGTGTGAGAGGCAAGCACCTGTATTGTCTAATTCTCCATTTAGCTGTGAGTTTGTCGAGCGTGACGCTCGTGACCCATGGTAACCATGTCCAGGTTGGCTTCGGGGGTTGCATTGCTGACCAACATCTGTGGGCACATGTCCTGACCGGCGACAGCGTTTAATCGATACTTTGGCCAGGGGCTGTTATTTTCATTTTCCATATACATACATATATACATATACAGAGGTTGGCCAAAACAAAAGCGACCATGGGCCAAACAAGTTTTCGATTGAAATCAGTTGGCTGTGGCGCGGCCGTCAGTTCAGCTCAATGCAGCAAGCTTCGGAAAAAAGGTAACCCTAGCTGAATGAAAAGTGAAAAGCGAGTGTCAAAGTTGTGTCGTGTGCGAATTTTTATACTATTATGGATTTATGTCTTAAAGGCTCACAGGTAGGTAGACATACTGAGTAGGGTCTGGGCTATTCTAGTACTGTCCTGTCGCTCCCCTCGCATATATAGATAAACCTCGCCGCTAGACAAAAATCGAAGCCCAAGTACAATAGTCGCTCCCTGACCACGCTACACAGTCCGACGCCGCATTTTCGTCCACGTTCGGCCAACTTTCTGCAGCAACGCAGTCGCTCCTCGCCCTTCCTGGGACGACCGCAGTCGGCGGATCCCAAGTTCGGACGCAAGCTAAGTGTTTACTTTGGTGACAAGGAGTTGCGGCACAATAAGCACGTGAGTACCAGCTGTCAAACAATGACGTTTGCTTATTAATAGAGAGTGCCGAGAAGAAAATGGACCAAAATTTAGCGAGTTACGCAAAATGGAAATAAATAATATTTTATCAAATAATTTTATTACATTTATCCAAAAACTGAAAGAACATTAGTGATATCTATTCTTAGTATACAAATTCGTATAATGTATATATAGTATAATCCGGTTATAACGACACTCAAGGGCCCACGTAATACTTGGAAGACTCTATAACCGCAGTAGTTTGCTCATATAAGTTTGCCTGGGAACCAGAATTTCCGTCGCAATAACAGTATTATGAAATATAGCATTTCATTATTGAGCTTAGGCTATAGCAAATTTTCAGTTGAGTTTTTTTAAAAGACAACATATTATTCAATTATATTTTTGTTCTGTTAGTCTGGCAGATCCATGACTGAATTGAAATCCAGTTTATATGCTACATATTGATCACTTTTATGGTTATTCGAGCTATTTATTTTACTCTGAGTGTGTAATTGCTTCTACCTTCTATTTGGCAGGCTCAAGTATCTTCCACAGATCTGCTCAAATCGCTGCTAGAGGAGCCCATCAAGCGCAGCTGGCTGTGCCGCAGCACCTGCAATTCTTCCACTGACGAACAGTCGGATTTTTCGCAGAAGTCAGAAGTCAGAAGTCACTGCAGCGAGGGTGAGCAGCTGGAACGTTTTCTGATCAACATGCCGGGCTCAGGCACAGGCACAGGCACAGGTACAGGTACAGGACAAGGCACAGGTACAGGCACGGACAAAACAAAATCGTATGCCTCCAATTGGTCGGCGGGCAAGAGTCAGGGAATTAGCAATGCGACGTTACTGCAAAAGACTGCTAAGCCAGATTTGCCGGGTCGCGTGTCGTTCAGTAAGCCGAACAGCAGTCAGCACAATGATGTGGATTCCAGTGACTGTGACAATGATAAGCAGGAGATTCGGTCCAACAGCAGCCATAGCATCAATATTTCAGCTCCAGGTCCTCTAACACTTCCCAACTTTAGTTATAACGGGAACGGAAATAAGCTGGAACCGGGCGATGCCAGTGGACAAAAGAAATCTGTGCACTTCGGCAGTCCCAATTCGGGTAGCGGCAGTGCCGAGGTGCTGGCTGAGACCTATGAGTATCCCAAATGCCCGTCGGAGAACTGCACCTGCAGCACCCGCTCCTCCTCCACGGCCAGCACCAACGAAGCCACCGCTGACATCAAATGCTCCTGCGATGCGCCCACTTGTCGCTTTGCGGAGACCAAGCCACAGTTGCCCCCGTCTGCGCTGCCGACGCCCACGCCCAAGTCTGGCTCGTCGGAGCTGAGTGTAATCAGGGAGTATAAGCAGGCGGTGGGCGTGTCTCCGGATAAAACCCTGAAGCCGTTGGAGCCACTAAACAACATGGAATTACCTAACTATTTGGATAAGTATGCAGCACAGGCCAAGGACAAGCAGAATAATTTGTCTGAGAAGAATCTCAGTCCAGTGAATGGCAGCAGCAACAACAACAATAACAACAACCACGCTCAGAGTAA